ATTATGGGAACAGTTAAATAACTTAATTAGCAAAACTAAGTAAGCTTCCAATTTATAGTCCAAATATTCAACCAACCATTTGCATGGCTATGGTACCATAAAGCACTCCAGTCCGGTGGCCAAAGTCAGTTGTTTGGAGTTTATCTCCACATTGTTTTATACATGTTATGCCATTATAAGTTGCCTCCCATTTTTTTCTTTGCATTTGTTCTTGAATGCGAAAAATTTGATAGACAGTAGAAATTCCAGACATTTATCGCTCGTGGTTTATCTAAAAATCTTTAACTTCAGCAAACAGCTTACCCGTTGGTGTAACTTAAGGACTTAAGCTAAATGTTGTCTTGGTGTGAAAAATACTAATAGGTGTGGATAGAATGGATAATCAACCCCTAAGCAATGTATTATGCCATCCTATAAGAAGAGGGCTTTAACATAGTTAGGGCAGCATATATGATTCTGAGAGCCCAAAACTTACCTTCCATGGCAATCGTAGTTGGGTGGACTGCCTAGCAACCGAGGCAGTCCTCTGCAGCAAATCCTGCCCTTCGTGTCATGTTATCATGATGACTCCGCAATCAAATGACTGGATCAGCCAGATTACATCACGGACTGCAGTGGGACTGCTTGGGTCTTCAGGCAGTTCTCCCAACTTATAATTAGTCAAATATACAATATTATGGAAAAATAACTTAAAATAACACACATACATACATACACACAAGGTGCACTCAGAGGTCTTCCAAAGTGACAAATGGTTTAACAAAAGCAAATTTACAAAAATGTGGGCGATCAACGTTTCAACCCTATGGGTATTTCTCAAGATCAAGTATTCAAGATCTTGAGAAAGACCCATATTGTCAAACTGTTGATTGTCCACATTTTTATAAATTTGCTTTTTTTACATTAAACCATTTGTCACTTTGGAAGACCTCTGAGTGCACCTTTTATATCTATTTTTTATATATTTTTTCACACGTTTGCACATTCACTTTAACATTGATTGTCTCATGGAAGGAGAGTGCCAAGCTTACCCTCAATATATATAATACATTGCGACCTCGGTTTACAAACTTAATGCGTTCTCCAGGACATTTCTTATTGCAAAAAATGTGTAAACCGAAACGTGGTTTCCCATAAGAATGCATTGAAAATCAATTAATCCGTTCTGTAGGTCAGAAAAAAGTCAAAATGAGCTGGCATGGAAACCAACCCACAATGCAGAATACACAATAAAAGGCATGCAAACAATGAAGCTCAGCTCCCTACCTTTCCACAGCTTGACAAATGCACCAAAAGTCCCAAAACAAGTGCAAACAATTTCCAGAATGGCTCCAAAACTCAATGCAAAAGCTGCTCCAACACCTCCACACTTGATGCCACGTGCTACCCACAGGCTCCAGCATGCACGGGGCGATGCTAGAAACCTCCCATGTGCCATGCATCCTGGGGAAACTTGCTTTGTATTGCGAAAAAAAATTGTAAACCGAGGCATTATTTTCAATGGATTTTCATTTGTAAACCGAAAATTATGTTAACCGAGGCGTTTGTAAACCGAGGTCCCACTGTATATATATATATATATATATATATTCAGTGGGACCTATAAATTGTATATAAACATCACAGCTACAGTTTACCCATATATAAAATGATAACATCATATTTCAGTGGAACCTAATATTGAATAGATTAGTAGAGACATCTCAAGATATTTTGAGATGTCTCTACTAATGGTCTCTACTTGGTTTACGACCAAGCCAAATAAATAAAGCAACAGAATAGAAATAACCCCAAGTTAAAGAAATGCATGCATCTTTAAGTGAGAAATTGTATGAGTATAATCATGGGTTAATAAAATATTAATAGTCTTTCAGAGCAATAAAATACACCATCATATTTTCTGAAATCAAATGCCTACTCAAGTATGGCTCTCAGAGGTAGGACAAATGAGAAGCAACAGATGCGATTTTTAATATAATATCCACACTTGTCATAGAGGCTTGGAATGGAGAACTGAATGTTCTTTAAAAAAATAGCGAAGTATGATAAACACTGTGCTGCGAAGCAGGATCAAATCCTTTATTTTTTTACACATGCTCTTTTAATAAACCACACAATTATTAGATTTCTCTATCACAAATAAGCATTCAAAAGTGTTTCACCTTCAAATATTAAATTATATTGTTACTAAATATTGCTCATTATTATCAAAAGGCTTTAGAAATAAATAACATGTAGATCCATGTTGTATACATAAAACAAACCGCTGAGAGAACATACCAGCAAAGAAGTGTATATGTGTGTCCAGAAAATCTGTCCAGTGTTCCATAAATATGTATTTCTCATTAAATTTTATTTTACTCTGGTTTAATCTGAGATCCTTTTAAAACCCCATATTTAAACTCTTATTGCATAGGTATATTTGACCCCATTTCTTGTCCCAACTCGTGTTAAAAGGACTCCATGGGCACCAAAGCAAAATCCTTTCTAATAAAGTTATTATGATGTTAGAAGTTTCCATGGCACTGGCATATATTGATGAACGGTTGAACCACTAAGCTTTGAATCCTGTGCCGTTAGCTTTGCCCCTCTTCTTCCATTTTTGTCTGAGATGAGAATCAGAAAGCCTTGGACAGTTTCAATCAGGAGAACCGCTGATTAGCTGAGAGCATCATCTGAAGCTCTAAGCCAACTGGTAGCTCCCCATTCAAAAAAAAACAGCTTGATATAACTGTGATATTACTGTGTTTAAGCATTGTTTCCATACACAACTATACACATACATTATGTTAACATTTAGTGTCATTTTTAGAAAGCTGCCTTCCCCAATCATAAGCTAAGTATTTCACAGTTTTATTTAATGTATTGTTTCCACACCTAGTGTATATGTCATAAAATGTATCTCTGTCCCTATACCGATATCCGAACCGTATGACAAATTGCACCGAAAAGTAATTTCCTATAGTTTTTAAAATGTTTTACTGTCTCTGACATAAGTTTCATTTTTTTGGTGTATGCGTCACTCTAACCTGTGCCCAAAATTGATGTTTTTTTCCCCTACAATCATAAGCTAGGTATGCATTCCATGGTTAAAATAAATGCTCTGCTAAGTTTTTTGTTGTTTGTTTGTTTGTTTTTTAAATAACTATCAGTGAAAGAGTTAAGATCTGTGTTCTCTTCTTTTTTCTATTTCTGAAAAATGTTTGGTTTTACTATTTAGTGGCCAAAGTAAATTTTTTAGTCACAACAGGGACAACATGGAACTAGAGCAGATGGAAGGCAACTCATAGTCACAGCTGTATGTGTTACTGAAGCTATGACAAGATGAACATGTTGCAGTTTTTGTAGAATGTTAAAATAGCATCTAGATTAACAATGTGTTGACAAACGCGGGTAACGGGAATGTTGGATCCTGAAGAAAATGTTTTTTTCCCTAGAATGTGATAATGATTGATAATTAAACAAATTATGTTTTATGTGATTTAAAAAATCACTCTGTTTATATGGTTTGATGAATGTTTAGAGGTGTACAACACATTTTGTCTGAAAATGTATAAAAAGAAACCAGTTAATGCTTACATAGCCTAATCAGTATTATCATTACATGACATCTTTACTAAGGGGACTTGGGGCAAACATGCAGAGATGTGGTACCCTTGGGATGCTTACATATTTTGTCAGGAGAGACAAACAGATAGCAGTGACAAGACAGAAAATTAGATGCCACAGCTGCATTTAGTTAAATGTCATAGAGGAGGGTGCATTGTGGGGACTGGGGGTTGCTGGGACAGGCACGCAGGATGTCAGGGATCCTTTCTCTCCAATTTATTATCTTCTTTTACTGCCATAACTTTACTTCATCGATATATCTAATAGAAAGTTTTGTATATACTGACAATAGACAATTATTGATATGAAAGATCACCTGTTCAATATTTCATGAGGCCAAAGGAGTCCTAATGAGGCACGCCATGAAGAACTGTGATTAGAGTTGAGCGAACCCAGACTGTAAAGTTCGGGTTCATACCGAACATTACGTTTTTTGGACCCCGGACCCGAACATGGACATATCACTGTTTGTTCGGGTTGGAGTTCGGTGTTCGGCGATTTAATGGCGCGTTTTGAAAGGCTGCAGGGCAGCCAATCAACAAGCGTTTGACTCGTATGCCATCACAGCCATTCCTACTAATGGCATGGCTGTGATTGGCCAGTGCAGCATGTGACCCAGCCTCTGCCCCTGTGAGGGAGAGCTTAGAAAAGAATTAGGCAAACTAGTACATTAGTGGGGTGCACTTCATATCTGAGAGTCAAATAGAAGAGTCAAATACCGCGGTTACATCAGAGTTTTAAAAAGTTTATTTTTTTGGGGTGCTAAATAGTACATTAGTGGGAGGGGCAGACACGAGCTCCTGACCGGCGGGCAGAATCCGTGACAAAAGCGGCGGTTATATAGCCCACAGAGACCCGAGGGTGCACTTCCCACGTCGGGGGTGACCCGCTGAACCCAACAATACCACCCCGGAGCCCGTCAGAGACTGAGAAGCAAAGACCCAAATGCGGCCTACTGAGGCTGAAGCCGGGGAGAGACGGCCGCTCTCCTCCGCACAGAGGCCCGCAAACGACTCTACCTTAACCTACCCACCCCCTGGACCGGTGGGGAACATCACGGTTCCCACTGGACACACAGACCAGCATGAGAAACAAGCATGCTAGCTACAAGATGAACGGGGGCAAAAGACACGCAAGGCCCAGCCAAAATGGCCGCCCAGCCAAGGCCTGGAAAGCAGAGCACCCTCGCTCAACCACCCGCATCCCCTCTGAAGACCTTTGACCACCTCGGTGCCAGTCTCAGGTGCACCTTGCAGAGCCGGGTAGCAACCCACCACCAAGCTGACATAATGGTGGCGTCGTGGATATGACCAGCGGCACAACGCAGCAACTACAGACAGGTACCCCGAGCCTCCAAGAAGGCCGTCCGGCAAAGCAGTTACAGGCGGGCCATGAGGCAGGAATTGAAGATGCACCTGACGGGCACACGATCTCACTCGCATATGAGCAAAGCCGAAACAACACGACAAGCAACGCACATGAGTGTCTCACGCGACCACATGTTCAGCACCCAGAGCAGCAAAAATCAGCTCCTCTCAGCTAATACTACATCACAAGTAGACATGCGACCACGCACCCAGCAGAGCACCGCCGGAACAGACCCCCGAAGCAGGTACACCGAGCCCAGGGGCCGCAAAGGAGAGACGGATAGCAACGGCACTCAGGACTTACTAATGCTGGGAATAGGCTGAAGCGCCCAACAAATTGCCTCACAAGGGTACTTGCATTTCTAGCCTGGACTGTTCCAAGCTCCCACAACAACCAAGTACCCAGACCCAGAGGCTTGATGCATTTTCCAAGCAGACCCTTGCCCATGCCCTTGCCTGTATGGTAATGCCAACTATTTTAAAACCAACCTCCAGTGATTAAATGCTTAAGTTAACTCTTGACACAACAGCTTATTCTTTTCATAACTACATTAACATAGCCAAACCAGCACTGCAAAATGTCATTCACTTAAAAGCTACTCTGATAACATAAATGTTTAGTTAAGCATGTTACCTATAACTATATATAAAAAATGTGCGAACTTCTATGCCACAGTATAATGTCTGTAATTCTTGAAACGCGCTGTTGTGGCGTTTGTTGATAACTTGTAATTGCCTGCACAACTAAAAATAAAGAATTTTTTAAAAAATAAAAAAATAGTACATTAGTGGGGTGCACTTATCTGATCGTCAAATAGAAGCATCAAATACTGCTGTCACATTGCAGTTTTAAAACGTAAAATTTTTTGGGTGCTAAAAAGTACATTAGTGGGGTGCACTTCATATCTGAGAGTCAAATAGAAGCTTCAAATAGTGTGCTTACAGCGCAGTTGTAAACTTCTAATTTTCTGGGTGATAATTTGCTAAATAGTACATTTTGGGGCATGCTCTTCATATCTGAGAGTCAATTTGAAGCGTCAAATAGTGCGCTTACAGCGCAGTTGTAAACATTCTAATTGTTTTGCTACTAATCTGCTAAATAGTACATTTTGGATTGTGCTCTTCATATCTGAGAGTCAAATCGAAGCGTAAATAGTGTGTTTACAGCACAGCTGAAAACATTCTTATTTTCGGGGTGCTAAATAGTACATTTGGGGCGTGCACTTCATATCTGGTGTATGTGTGCAACACTTACTAGTTACCGCTTCTCAAGAAAGTCTAAAGACAACTAAATGTTGCCTATGGTGCAGGTAGTATAGAAGGCAAGAGTGAGACAAATCATTCGGGTAACGTTTGCCTGTTGACATGTTAATTATCTTAGACCATTAAAATTCAATAATCAATTAAAAAACCACAGTAAGTGTCATACAAAAATATGTATTATAGACAAGTTAAAAACAAGACTACAAGTCATGCTATAACAAAATTAAACAAGTTTTAAAATATGTATGGGCCAACCAGTGGCTGTAAAAACAAAGTTTTACTGGTTACATTCATGACTACACACGCTAGTGAACAGGACCTTCAGTAGTGTGTTCTTTTTTAAAAAAAATCATACAGCATCCTTTCATGTGCTTTTTAGATGTCATATTGTTAATGACCAATTTTTGTATAGCCTGATTTTTTTTTTAAGAAGGGAAAAAAAAGTGTTATTATGATCGCTTCATATACAGAAGCATTAATATACATTTCTATATTGTGTAAAGACACAACTACAAAGTTAAAAACCAAACACCAAAGCAATGTGCCAGACAATCTACCTGTGCATGGCTAGTGTGATACAATAAGTCTACATCTTACGCACGGGTCAGTCACTCTGCGGAACAGTTTTCTTTTTTTGTATGTCCCAATATTTTGGGGGCTACCCCAATTAAAATAAAAAAATATATATATATAAACAGTGTTGGCTACCTCCTCCTCCACCGCTGCTTCCACCTACACAGCCATGGTCACCGCCTCTTCAACCTATGGGTCACTTAGTATAAACTATGTACACAATAGCAGAGGCTTGTGAAGGCCTTTTCTCCATGCATCAGGAGTTGAGCTCAGTTTGAACAATGAAAGAGAATAACCTGCACTCCAACCCTCTCTCAAATGGATAATTCTGTTGATCCTCCTGACAGCCATGCTTTAGATTTTGCTTTATGTTCTTCCAAAGCTAAAATCAAAGATTCCATCTTGTGCTATTTTATGGCTCAGCTGTATTTTTAATTATTATGTTATTTTAAGTCATTTCCCTATCCACATTTGTTTGCAGGGCACTTGTCCTACTCTTAGCCCCATTTTACTTCCTTTCGTAGCCCTCTAGCCCTTTCCAGGACTTTTTTAGAGGCATTTTTGTGGCCAAAAGTTCGGGTCCCCATTGACTTCAATGGGGTTCGGGTTCAGGGTCAAGTTCGGTGTCAAGTTCGATCATGAACCCGGACTTTTTTTCCCGCCGGTCCTGAACATCCATGTGTCTGCTCAACTCTAATTGTGATCTTATTACTTATCATTGTAAGAATATTTATGATTTGGTACTACTTTTCTGTACTTCATCTGTTATAACCACCCTAAACAATAAAATAATAAGAAAATAAAGACTGCTAAAAAAAAGTATTATCACTATTGTACAGCTAGAAGAAGAAAAAAACATATTCCCTGAAAGTATGACGGGACTATTTTTAATCTATAAATGAAAATGAAGTATACATTTCTATTCATTTTACACAATTAAGAAACCAATAGAAAAAACAACACGTATGGTGCCCAGAGCAAATATAAAATCAAAAATACCAAAATAATAAAAAATAACACAAATTAATGTAAAAAAGGAATAGATGAATTAATGACCTATTAAGAGTCCAAATGAAATAATAATTAGGATGTTGAGTACAAGATACAAATATTCAACACATAGGTAAATGTAGCAAATTATTGAAAACACTTTTTACAATGTTAAAATAGTAACAATTATAGAGGCAAACATACATGGTTATAGTGCAATTAAGTGAAAAAAAGAAGAGAGTATACACACTAAAGACCCAAATAGTGTATATATAATCAGAGTGTTCCCAGGTGTACCTCACTGACACCTAACTAGCGAAAACAAGGAAGCAGAAAAAAGTGGGAAAAACACCCAGTAAACGTACAAACTAAACTAAAGTACAACCTGGAAATATTAGTCCAGGATGAGTGAATCCTTCTAAGAATCTGTTACAAATCTATTATAATGATAAACATAACATAGCATAATACAACTTTAAATACTAAAAAGTGTAGTGTTAGTAGCAAACTCACAAACGTAAGTTGATAACAGCCTGGGGTAGGCATCGGTCACGGTTTTGTCATTTAGCCGCCGATAGTCCACGCAGAACCTGGTAGTCACATCCTTATTTGGCACCAGGACTACCGGGGACGCCCAGGGACTATGGGAGGGCTCAATGACTCCTAGTCTCAACATCTCCTGTATCTCTTCCCTCATACTGGCTCTGACAGCGTCAGGTATCCGATATGGGGATTGTCTAATCGGAGCCTGGCCTGAGGTTTCCACCCTATGGGTGGCTAGCATGGTGAACCATGGTTCTTGGGAGAACTTTTGGCTCTTACTGGCTATTAAGCAGTTTATCTGCTCCCTCTCTGTGGCCGTCAGCTGGTCCCCTAGCTTTATCCTACTAAGGGGATTGCTCTGGGGTTGCCTACTTAATAGGTCGGGCAATGGTAAGCTGTCTGGATCATCAGTGGCTGGGGCGTAGATGACAGCTATGTCCTCTGGTCTTTCCTGATATTCTTTAAGCATATTAATGTGGAATGCTTTACGAACCCTCTCATCTTTATCGCTGGCAATTACATAGGTGGTACCACAGAGTTGGTCTACCACCTTGTAAGGGCCCTGCCAGGCTGCTTGCAGCTTATCACGTTTAGTAGGTTTTAACACTAGGACTTTCTGTCCTACCTGGAATGTCCATTGGTGAGCACCCTGATCGTACCATACCTTCTGCCATCCCTGGGCTGCCTAGTGGTTTTCCTTAACCATCCGTGCCAGCTGTTCCATGCAGTCCCGGAGCTGCACTACATATGATACGATGGGGGCTCCCTCTTGTTCGGTGGTTCCCTCCCATTCCTTCCTAATGAGGTCCAGGGGGCCTCGCACCCTTCACCCATATAGCAGCTCAAAGGGGGAAAACCCAGTGGATTCCTGTGGCACCTCTCTGTACACAAACAGGAGGTGAGGCAGGAACCGTTCCCAGTCATGGTATTAGTCTGTGAACATTTTCAACATTTGCTTGAGGGTACCGTTGAAACTTTCACAGAGGCCATTTGTCTGGGGGTGGTACGGGGAGCTAAGTAGGGATTTGATCTGGCAGACTTCCTTGGTCGGAGAGGATTTCCTTTGGAAAACCGACCCTGGCAAATATCCCGACCAAGACATTGGCAACGGTGTCTGCCTGAATATTGGGTAGGGTGATGGCTTCAGGATAGCAGGTGGCATAGTCCACCACGGTAAGTATAAATTGTTTGCCGGATGGACTAGGCCGTTTGAGGGGCCCTATCAAGTCGACTGCTGGAAGGTTGTCCATAATTCCCAGTTGTACAGTAGCAGATCCGGCTCCTCAGTTTAGATGAACCCGGGCAGTGGGAAGACGATAAATAGTATACAGTCTTTCCGGTGCGTTTGGAATCCCTAAACCGTCACTGGTATGCTTCAGGGGTTACAGCATACCGGAACAGTAACGCTTCCTTTACAGTTGCATAATTTGTAATATCCTCGGGTGGGATGGCCTAAAAAGCTTCATTGGCTTCTCCCGACAGTTTGCTAGACAAAATTGTAACCCATTCCTCGGGGGGCACCTGATGTAGCGCACATTGCCTTTCAAAGTCGGACAAATATCCATCTATCTCTCCATCTGTTTCTTGGTACGCTTTAAACGCTGCAAATGGTACTTTTTTCCACTCGCTGGGATTCACAATCGATAGCACCATTGGGCTTTCAGGTCTTTGGGCAGTCAGTACCTGTAGATAATAGGCTCTTCTCTCCCTCTCCTTTCCATCGCTGCATTGAGAAGTTGGGTTACCAGTTCTGAAGGTGGATTCGGTCCATAGAGTGCCAGCCTCCTTTGCACCACTCTCTGAATCTCATCCTCTTCTCCGTTCGGCGGATTGGAGTTAGCCATGGTGTTGTTTTGGTCCAATTCGACCAGTTCATCGATCAGTTCCCATCGGGGTCTGTTACTAGCCGAACGCCCACAGCTATCCAGCAAATCCTTCAACATTAGCCATTTCAG